CGGCCCTTGAAGTTGAAGGTTTCCGTAGCTTGTCTTTGAATATGTGGCAGACCCATGTATAAACGGATCCTCATAATGTGCCCGCATGATCCTGGCAACCTAGGCAGTGGCCGAGACCTTGCACAACAATGTGCTCAAGGACTATGTGGCTGCCAGATTGCCACAGCTCATGCAGGATCCAGACCCCTGGCAAATTCTAGTTCATGCGCTGCATTTGCATATACATGTGATTTTTTAGTGCATGCATCCGTTTAATGGTGCCTTGAATGCCTAGGAGCGGATCATGGTGCGTATGGACAGGTCCGAGGAGAAGCAGCCAACCGTGATCACGAAGGATGATGTTGTGGCCAACTACAGCCTTTTGAAAGCCTACCTCCCTGTCTTTGCCCTTAATGGACCTCCGCCAGTTGAACAGCACAAGGCCCCTAAGCTGGAAATAACTCAAGCAGTTGGCTTGTTTTCTGGCTTGTTTGTTGGCTTGTTTCCACATTGCAAAGGTTGCCTTCACCCTCCTGGCGGTGACGCAGAACTTGTTCAGTGCTGAGCTCTACGAGAGGAGAGGCGGCATCAAGGAGGTACGAGCAGCTTGGATGCATGATGTTGTGAATTCTTGCAACAGTGCAGGGTTCATATAGGAAAATGTGGGCATGTTGTAGATCTGCATATAAGGACTGGGCCTGGGGAGAGGCTGTTAAGTTGAGGGCGCTGGCTGCCTACATCATCCGCTTGGCCCGGAGGACCTTGAAAGCCAAGCCAGCCAGCTGAATCATTTTGTCAATTTGTGTATACCTCATGATCAAGCATTGGCCCAGGCATCCGAAGATCCGAGTCCTGAAGAAGATCGTGGCTGTTATTTGTGGCTGGATTGTACCTTGGCAGATCTAGATGTTTGACCGTAACAGTGATCAGCCTAGTGCGTGCTGTTTTGGCCAGCCACTGCAGCTGCCCAGCATGCAGGCGCCTGGCGATGCGGCTATGGATGATGATGACGACGACGACTTCCCAGATGATGGCACAGACGGAGGATGTGATGATGACGATGATGATGACCAAGCAGAACCGGTCAAGAATATTGTGCCAGCGGAGGAAATGTGCGAGGTTGAGATGGTAGAGGACAGTTGCAATTGATCATGGCTTATAAGTGGGGATCCTTGGGTAATGGGAGTTATAGTGTCTGATAATTGCATGATCAATATTCATGATCATGAAGGATGCGGAGATTGATGATG